ATGGTATAAGGAGCCGCCCAAGCCGTGGTTGCACAAATTTAGGCACGTAAAAGGTAGTTGGACTTCACCCCCCAAAATCCCCCGGCGGGCGGGCCGGGCTGGGGAATTCTGGGAGTTGAAGTCCACTCATCTTAAAGTGGCCAAGTTTGGACAACACTGCCCTAAGCTCTTCCTTAGCTGCAAATATTCCTTAGCTTGGAGTGATTTTTCCTCAGTTCATTTCTGATACTGCTAGTAAGAAGTAATCTGGAATGCAGAATGTTAGGTGGGGTGCAAGTCCAAGTCCCCTCATCTGTTTTTGTTTTCTTTAAGAAAAGCAGGCCGACTTATGAACATGCAGAGAGGTATTTCTAATTAGGTTCTATGTTTGATACCTGACGTTTCCATCTGGAGAGGTTAAGAATTGAACCTGAAATCTTTTGTGTGCAATATAAGTGCACACAGTGCTCTACCACAGATCTATAATTTTCTGTTTTGCAATGCCCAAATCTCAGGTTTAGTCCTGAGTATTTCCAGTTCAAACAAGCTCTGTTAAAAGAAGCGTGGAAATAATGATCTTTGCCTAAAAGAGTCCCTGGCAGTTAGAATAAACAATCCTGGGTTTGCTTAACTAATCATTTGATTCTGTTTTGCTTATGATAAAAGGTTACAAATATAATCCTGGCTCCAATTGAATCCCATTTACTCATAAGGACACAGGGTCCGTGAACTTACCTATGAAGCAGGCTTTTCATGTGATCACCCAAATATACAGTAGGCAAATATGCTTCAGGGCAGCGTGTCCACCTTCATCTGTTTTCTCAGCTTCTGGATTTTTTGGTTCACAAACTAAATATCTGTGGTGCAGTGATCTCTGAAAGCAGGGTAACAGCCTTAAGTCAACAGTGCTCATCCAGAAATTCATTTATTTATTTGGATACTTGCCATTAAAATGCCAAAGGCCTTACAAGATACATAAAATTACACCACACCCTCTGAAATTTCAGTAAAACAACCATTTTAAAATGATCTAGACTATCTGACCATGGCTGATACAAATATCTTTGATCTAATGCAAATTAAAAAAAAATACAGCTATAAGGGATCATTAAGTGGCATGCTAAAAGTATGGGATGAATACAGAAAAAGAGTTAGTCCAGATTTATCATAACTTGCTTTGATATTAAATGTTTCTATGTATAAAGGAGAATATCCTGAATATATTTGTAGGGTTTAATAATAGTTTGTAAAAAGTTTTATCTCCCCATTGGTCAAATTTCAGATCATGATTCAAAACCTTACGTTCCTACAAAATATACTGGGTTAGTACGGTACTGTATATGGCAACAGCTGCTAGAATACTCTATGCTTCTTACTGAAAGCATAAACCCTCTGTAGAAAAATGGCAAATTAAGTTATGGACATATGCATCAATGTCAAAAGAACTTCACATTTAAAAAACAAATCTGTTATTGAATTTAACTGAGTTTCTGGGTTTCTCCTAACATAAGATTATAACATCTAATCTATAAACATCAAGATTTCCCCCTTTTTTGTGATTTGCTAAATTGTTAAATTTTTCAGAACAGACAGAACTTATTGTTATTTTTCTTGGGTTATAATTTATTAATCCATTTATACTGGCTAAAGCTGTAAATTGCTGTACAATAATCTGATTATAATATTGATTTATTTTAACACTGATTCCAACTTTCAAATTAATATATTTTAATATGTAAATTGATATTAAAGCCATTTCAATTTGATTTTTTTTGTTTGTTAAGTTTACTGTGTTTGAAAACCTTATTTACAACTTGCTTTTTCTATGTTTCCTGCTTCTTTTTTTGATTATATTAGTAAACTTAATTAAAAAGAGCCCTTGGGGCTGTGAGCTCAGCCACCTGCTCTTTAGGTCCATGCCCCTCCTGGCTGGTTAAAGCAGCCCAGGGGTGTTGTGTGAGCAGGTTCTAGTGACGGTTAATGCAACTTTGAGTGAGGGGGTTGTTTCCTCACCTCTTAAGAATGGCTTTGTTCACCCCTCCTCAAGAGGCCATCACTAGACCCCACTATACTAGATAATTTTCGTTCAGTATCTAACCTCCCCTTTTTGGGGAAGGTGATTGAGCTTTCCTTCCGGGGTACATATTAACCTTTTTGCGAGAGATTCCAGATTTGGGGGATATTATTTAATATAATTTAAGTGAACCATGGTCAGATAAACCTTGAATTTGGTTCCACTCAAGTATTTTAAATAGACTGATAAGTTATTGGTTATTTATTTATGGAAGGAACTAATACTAAGGATACCCCTATTAAAATTATCTCTCTCTTATGATGTTGGTGACCCATAATGTTTGGGTCTGCCCAATTGTCATGACATGGTTTATTTTTGACTTAAATGTATTGTGTGGACCCACCTCTTCCCTTTGTTTCCCTCTTTTGCTCATGAAATTGTGTAATATATTATTATAGCTTCCTAGATTATTAATGCTACTTTATTATGGCTGCTAGATAATTCTCATCAGTATCTCAAGAAGCCTCCTACCCTGAAGTAATAAATACAGTTTGAAGAGGTGAGTTTAGTAAAGATAACCTGGGGAGGGGGGCTTCCCTCAGTAGGTTTGCTTCCTCCTTGCCTTAGCTGCTTGCTAGCTACCTCTTTCTAGGCCAGTGTCAGCCTTACCAGGTACACCAGACAGGAAACACAACCACATAAACTAATTCTACTTTATTGTAAAGCTACATTAGCAGAATCTTACAAGTCTGAAAATACAATTATCCCACCTTCACCTTTATAGCCTGAGAACTTAGGGAGCGTCCCTTCTGAGCCTCTTGCTCCTCCCACTATCCAGCTCTCTTATCTGACGGTTCCCTAGACAGCATCTCTCTCCCCATTTCCTAAGGTCTTTCCCACATACCATTACATCCACTCTGGGGCCGCAGGCAACCACATAGGTGCAACTCCTCTCTCCAACCCCTTAAAGCAGCTGCATCTTTCCCCGACATTGTGTGGCCACCCTTCAGAGATACAGTACAATCCTAGGTAAAGACACCACTGTTTTAAAGAGAGGCAGGCAGGTATTACATGTGGGCCCTTGGATGCTCCAAATAACTACTTTCTTTCCAAATCACAAGAGCTGCCCAGCCCTATTGCTCAATTTTCTGGGTTTGCATGATACAGTGAACCAGAGAGTGACCATGTGGGTTGAGTGCCTGCAACATACTAGGGTGAAATGTAGTCAGCCAGCTTGTGGCTGAGTTTTTCACACAAATCCAGCCATGTACAGAAAGCTGACACAACAGATGGTGCAGCACTGGCTGCTGCAGAAATCCTCTCAGTGCCTTGGCACTTACTTCCTTGCATGCTTCCTCCAAAGAAAAAATGTGGGTGAACAAGCAGTAACGGAGTTGTTGGCTCAAAGTTCTCCTTCGAGACCGCAATGGGAACTGACCTAGATCAAGCTGGGCATGCCATATCTGGACTGCAAAACTCTAGATGACCACTAGAAGCAGCAAAATTATCCCTTTGCTGCCATCTAATGGTCATCTGGATTTCTGCAGCCCAGACATGGAATGCCTACACCAGCGTTTCTCAACCTTAGCAACTTTTAAGATGTGTGGACTTCAACTCCCAGAATTCCCCAGCCAGCGTTGCTAAGGTTAAGAAACACTGGCCTAGACCAAGTTGACTGGAAAGAGAGGGAATGGAGAGCGGAAGGGGACCTCGGAGCACAGCAGGCTCAGGAACACACCAGCTCTGGTCTTCAGTGGGTCCTCTGGTCCTACTGAGCACGGGACTCTGCTAGTCCCTGACAATATCAATCTAATGCATCTTAACAGCAAAAGATACTCATCAGTCTCTTGTCTTTATTCCCAAATGTTTCCCAGAAGTAGGAACCAACAAATGGTTGGGATTTTTTTTTTTTTTTTAAGAGCCAGTTCCATCTGTTTATGGCCTCAGGCAGTCAGGTTCCTCTCGAACTGGTTTTCGGTGATCTGAAGTCAGCCCCGGTTATGCTAAGGGCATGCTAGCAATAGACTAATTTTATTTCGTAATGCATCAGACTTTCAGCAAGAGTCAGCATGGCATGGTGGTCAGAACATCAGAGCAGGACTGGAGAGAGGCTAGGCACAGATATCGCACTAAGCTGTGGCTTGGAAACCACAATAGATGAGCTCACACAACACACTAAGCTACAAAGAAGCAAATGTGCTATGGCCTTGATGGATGTGGAAACCAGTCCCTCTTTCAGCCTACTCTAGCTCTCCCAGCACTGAGCTTTCCAAGGATAACACACTAATATTTTAATATTTAAATACAGATCCAATCTTTATTGTGCATTTTCTACAAACCTCACCCAAATCCCATATTCCCTTCCTGCTTTAGCAATCAATACCTTCTTGCAGCTGAACACGCCTGTGTATGGCTGCGTTTATGTCCTCAAAAGATGGAAAAATATTTGCCAGAATACTGATACTGTATCAGTACTATGTGATAACCATAAATTATGGCCACTTGGAAAAAGCACGCTCAAAATTTTATAGGAGGCTTTAATTAACATAGTAATACATTTGCAGGGGAGGTGTATTCGTTTTGACTCCGCGCAGGCAGAAAGTGGGGATCGCAGAACCCCTATATGTCAGGTTCAGCCCAAAGAACTTCAAGAGACAATGTAAATACAGCTCTGTTGCGTTTATTAGCTACAACCTCCAGACAA